ACTCCAACCCCGATCCCTACCCCGAGTCGGCGTTTTACTGACGTCCGCCTTGAAATAGGTTGATTTAGCAACGAAACGGGAACGTCATTTGACGACGGGAAAGCGCGCGGAAAGGACTAAACTCGACTTGTGGTGCCCAATTTGCCGCTCTGCCATTAGCCTCCCACGCAGGCGTTTTTAGGGGAGCTCGTTTTTCGCCCCTCCCCACAAAAAAACGATGAAAATGAAAAACGAGCTCCCCTAAAAACGCCTGCGTGGGAGGCTACTCTGCCATTGGTCAAGCCAGTTGTTTGAATTGCGCGCGCCGTCGTCAACTGACGTTCCCGTTCCCGTTCCCGTTCCCGTTCCCGCTCCAGTTCTTGTATGAATTTTTGTAGGCCAATTCTAAATATCTCAGTAAGGGTTACTTAGCGTGTATGAATTATTCTCATTTAATTTTCCCTTGCCTCCCGAATACCCGGTATGTACATTTTTTATACTTCGCGCCCCCCTCCCCCCCCCCACCTACCACCACCATACGTTTTCTAATGGTCCGTCTCTAAACTTTCTTGCAGATGGTCTTTTCAACAGTGTCTGTTTTTCTCAAAGATCTAAGAAGCTATTAGGTAAAAGGCCCACACATAAGGTTGCCAGGAAGCCCAGGGGGGGGGGGTACTCCCATACATTACCTATACGGGTATGTGCCGCCCAACGGGGTCGTGAATTTGGAGCTCCTGATTTAGAACGGGGTATCCATTTCAGAGGCGTTTTCTAGAACGGGGTATAATATTTCGAACGCGCGAAAGCTCCAGTTTTGTAAGCAGCCATTTGAAATTATTCAAGGACAGATTGCTTTTAAAAATACGGTTCAATGCGTTAACAAGCAAATTTTTGTACTCTTGTTGCACCCTAGAACGGAGTATTAAAAATTGGCCCATTTCTAGAACGGGGTATCAGTTTCAGGGCGAATTCTAGAACGGGGTATAAAAAATTGGCCCATTTGTAGAACGGGGTATCAATTTTGGGGGGAATTTTTTTTAGAACGGGGTACCAATTTTGAGTCCCGGGCGGCACATACCCACCCAAAAAATACCCAAGTGCCCCCCCCGGGCCAGGAAGTACCTTACGAAGAGCGTTGTTTTGATTTTGATGCTTAATATGCAAATTTCTAGCTGCCTTCATATCCTAAAGATTTGATTTCTATGAGTTGTTTGATAAGCTCATGAAATGCCTATGAAATATAAATCATCTCCTGGCTTCACTTGAGTTTTTCCTTAATTTGAATAAGTATGTGACATCTTAATTATCACTTGTCACAGCTGTGACAACAGAAACGTTTTGCAAAAAACCGAGCTGTTAATTTATTCCATCGGGCGGTTTTCACAGCACGGGAACGAGCTGAAAGATTAAAATACCCATGCTAGCCCTTTCTTACTATGTTCATGCAGTTTTTCAGAAGAGGGTGTTTCCCTTGAGAAAAATGGCATTCATGTGCCCAACTAAGAAGAAAACACTTCTATTGTGAAATTTTTATCTAGAAGCTTCCACGCAGAAGTTTTCCTTCTCTAAATTATGTCCTTAATCTTATGTGTCTTACTTTGCCGTTGAAGAGGATTCAAAAGTTAGATTAGCTTAATTGCATAATTGAAAACAGTAAGGCTGATTCAAGATGCTGGGCAGGATCGAGAAAAGGCAACAAGGGAATTGAAATACTTAACTTAACTATTGTGCGGTTGATGGTTTTCCCAATCGTTCCGTGAGGTAAATGATATGATCGGTTACAAGATATGTAGACTGTCAATATATTGAGCTTGGGGTGAGAAAAGTGAATAAATCATACCTCGATTATCTTGCGCTCAGAAATGTACCCGTGAGTGTCTCGGATGCGATTGCTTTCGTTACGTTTGTCCGTTTGGAGTCTGTTACAGGCACCCAGACCGTCGACAAACGAGTTATAAAACTGCTGTTTGCAATGCAAATTTTAGCAGCCTTTTTAAATAGAAGTGCCATTTCTTTGTCTAAAAAAGGCGCGGGGGAGGGGGTATTCATTATTATGGGCTGAGTGGTTGTCTGCAAATGCCTTGGTAAGGGGAGGAGTTATAAAAGAAGGGGAAACAACGGGGATTTAGGAGGCCCTTTCAAAATACCAAGGGTTAAGTTAAAGTCACGTAAGTTATCTGATAGGGTTTATGTTTTCAGTCGCCTGAAAATAGCACAAAACAGATGCAATGGTCTGAAACATAAGGCGCATAGCCTCCCTATATAAACGTTTATAAGATCACCCCCTAGACAATTGCTATAATTGTTATCGACTTTCATTGTCATGTATGAAACAGCTGCTTCACTGTGATGTGATGCATCTTCTAAACAGTTTAGGCTATGTCTTAGGTTCGTATACTTACTAAACACTCTTGTTTTTTCCAGCTGAATAATGAAGACTATGTAACTGGTGGCAGCATTATTTTGAAAGACAGCTCATACCTGCCCTGAAAGACAATATACCGTAAACTGCCGCCTTGTAGTCTTAGGCTAATATATACATCCCGGAGGAGGGTGGGGTACTCCCTTATGTAAGCTATGCGTTGCCCCATCGGGAAGGGTTTTTGCGCCGTTTTGGTCTGCAAATAGACTGTTCACAGTCCCCTATTTTTTCGTGAGATCGTTTAGATATACCGGGCCGCGTCTTACCGTCACGGGTATTTTGACTTTCAAATGTACCGTGGGGACGGGAGTCGGGGATTATAGCTAAGTAGTTTTGACACTCATGCAAGGACCGTAACGCAAAGCGCTCGATCTCGATGATCTTACGGAAAAATAGAGGACTGTGAACAGTCTAGTCTGCAAAGGGGTATACACTTCGCCTATTTTGGTCTGGAATCGGGTATGGTTTTTGAGGGAACTACGGGAGTGAATGAACGTATTCATCGTTTCAATTCCACATGAGTCAGAAAGAGAAATATGCAAATTCGAAATGGAGTTTGAAGAATTTTTTTGTTTGCGCTCTAATATAAGTAATGATAACATGATTTCTGCCTAAAGGCCAGGTCTAAAAACGGGTATGGATTTTAGAGGTCTGGTCTGAAAACGGGTGTGGAAAATTAAATTTTTTGGTCTGAAATAGGGTTGGGATAAAGAACCCGGCGGCAAACCTCCACCAAGAATTCCCAGTGGTACCCCTCGGGATAAACATCTTCGTAATAATTTAATAATAATTTAATAATAATTTAATAATAATTTAAGAGAAGCTAAGATCAAACACTATATAGATATAATAAAACAAAAATATATTGCATATTGGCAACATACAATCCATCATTCTAAGAAGCTACAATTTTACAGCTTCTTTAAACTTGATTATAAAATTTAAAGTTATCTAGACTTAATTAGAAATTCTGCTAATAGGAAAGATTTAGTGAAAATTCGTATAAGTAACCACAAACTCATGATTGAAACTGGAAGATATAATCAAACTTCCCGCAACGATAGATTCTGTCCTATTTGTAACTCTGGTATAATTGAAGACGAGTTTCATTTTCAGACTTCCGATCCATTGTCCAAAATACTCAATCCCAAGGGAAAAATTCTACAATCAAATCGAACAAAATTTTGTCGACTTTAATCAGCTATCTTACACAGAATTAATAATTAAATTGATGAATTCACAGACTTTTTCCGTAAATTTACATTTGTTGAAATTTGTCTCATTATGTAATGATCTACGTAATAATTTGTTATCAAATCATGCTGATGACACTTGATTGACTATAGTAATCATTGCATTGCGTTATCATTGCTATGATTTATTTGCCTGTTTGTTTGTTTGTTTGTTTGTTTTTTTTTAATTGTTAAAGCTTTTGCAATACTGTAACTACATAATTAAAGTCATGCAAATAAAGCTTATGTTGTTGTTGTTGTTGTTGTTGTTGTTCGTAACGGGTCTTAGGAGGGCGACGGCGACGGCAACAAGAGCGGCAATAGGCGAATCCTTGTTTACATTTTTTGCCTCATTAGCATAGGCTTATTATTAGAGTGGTTTTCGTTTGAGTGTCGTAAAACCAAAACCAAAGTAATTACTCTGGCCAATCACATAGGACACAGACAATACATTGAACCAATCAAAACTCGAAGTAATTACATGTGGCTGACGCAAAGCGCGGGAAAATGCATGCGAGCGCGTCACAATTGGCTTTGGTTTTACTTCTGATTGGATGAAAAGGTGGCGCGAATCTTTTAAGCCAATCGCATCGTGTAGAAAGTGCAAAACCAATTACTTTTCGACACTCAAATGAAAACCGCTCTATCTGATGAAGCTAATAATATCAAATTTATAAATATTGAAAGAGCATAACAGTTTCAGCAGGAGCCCATCAAATTTGATGGGCTCCTGGTTTCAGTTATCTCTTGGGGTTGGTTTGTCACGCATTCATTTCTCCCCCAGAGACCGTGGGGGAGAAATGAATCCCGTGGGGGAGAAATGAATGCGTGACAATGAATGCGTGACAAACGAACCCCAAAGGACCACCGCTGTCATAGATAGATAGATAGATAGAAACTTTCTTTATGTGTCAAGAAAGAAAAACTAGCCGAGGGGCAGGCCCTCTACTAATAGGGGACACCTAAACGTCTAAATCGTTATTTTTGTTTTTTATTGTTCGGATTTCATTTACCAGTTAGAGGAAAATCGGCAAAGATGTATAAATCAGTTAGTTAACATAACTATCTTTCCATTTTTCTCAAAATTTTGAGCTTTTTTCGCTGAAAACGCTTCGCGCTATTAAAAAGAGAATCATGTTTGAAAATGGCGCCGATAATAACGTCAGCATCGGTTTTCAATCACCTAGAACTTTTTTAGTAAACTTTAAAAAGTTTAGTAAACTAACAGGATGTTGGTAATACCCTAAAGTTTCGATAGTGAAAGTAGCAACCTTAACTTTGAAGTATTTCGCTTAAGTTTTGCAAATTTCACACTTTTGACCGCTGTGAAACCCCAAAGGACGTCTGCGGGGAGGATAGGGAAGTTTGGGTCGAGAGTGACATTCAAGATGGCGCGTGAACGCGCTAGTTCTGGTCTGCCTATGATGGATGATAGCTTATTCGTAGGGCCGAGAATTCCAGATGAGATAAAACGAATGATACCTCATTTAACTTCAATCGATAAAGCTTTATTCAGGAAGATCTTGCAAGGTAGGAGAGATCAGAAATATCGATACACATTCGGAGATCGCCCAGTCAAACCGATAACGTTTGGACTCAGTGTTTGGCAAGGAATGAACTTTGTGCTACTTTGACACAAGTACACTTTGACTGTATTATAAAATTATAAATCTTCGCTGTAGTAGGTTTCACTGATTTCCAAAATTACACGTAACTGTAGGCCTTTAGCCAATGAGAAGACAATCAATGCTTTTTTTATTAAACCTCCCCGCCTTAATTTATGAAACATTTTTCATCATTGTAGCCCAAGAGCCCAAAGAAAACGAAAAAAATCATTGTTGTTCAGTAGAGCCGAAATAAAAGTCTTAAGATGGAAATTATCATAATATTATCATTTTTTGCCCTCCACTCATGACTCTGTTGCTACATACCACATACTGGAATTGAAAGCAGAAGTGGAAGAATAAAACAGTCAAAATGCTTGTTGCCATGCATTGCAGCAATCTGCAGTGAAAAAGTCATAAGTGGAGTCAGAANCTGCCTATGATGGATGATAGCTTATTCGTAGGGCCGAGAATTCCAGATGAGATAAAACGAATGATACCTCATTTAACTTCAATCGATAAAGCTTTATTCAGGAAGATCTTGCAAGGTAGGAGAGATCAGAAATATCGATACACATTCGGAGATCGCCCAGTCAAACCGATAACGTTTGGACTCAGTGTTTGGCAAGGAATGAACTTTGTGCTACTTTGACACAAGTACACTTTGACTGTATTATAAAATTATAAATCTTCGCTGTAGTAGGTTCACTGATTTCCAAAATTACACGTAACTGTAGGCCTTTAGCCAATGAGAAGACAATCATTGCTTTTTTTATTAAGCCTCCCCGCCTTAATTTATGAAACATTTTTCATCATTGTAGCCCAAGAGCCTAAAGAAAACGAAAAAAATCATTGTTGTTCAGTAGAGCCGAAATAAAAGTCTTAAGATGGAAATTATCATAATATTATCATTTTTTGCCCTCCACTCATGACTCTGTTGCTACATACCACATACTGGAATTGAAAGCAGAAGTGGAAGAATAAAACAGTCAAAATGCTTGTTGCCATGCATTGCAGCAATCTGCAGTGAAAAAGTCATAAGTGGAGTCAGAAGATATTTCCTTTCATTTTTCTATTTTCAGTTATTATCTCAGTTTTTGAGGGAAAGGTTCCTGATGATGGATTGCTTCAAGAGCTCCAGTCGGATGCAGTAACTGAGGAAACATTGTCTTCTTTGTATGCTGGGCTGTACTGTCTCTTGCGTAGTGCACTGCGCCTTCCTCAAACTTCTCTTAAACCAGACCGTTTCAAGTCAGACCTCACAGAGCTCAAGTAAGCATATTATTATGGGTGGTGGTTATGGCAATTAGAAGTGGGCTGGGTGCAGTTAGGAGGAAATAAAATAATAATCAAATTACTGACGTTATGGCAGATTTTTCATATGCAGGTGTATGCATGAATATTAGTGGACCTTGACATTCATTCTTGTTATATAGAGGATATTACATGGCCGCACGGAGATACGAAATTTCTCTTTGAGTGTTGAAAAATATTGCACAGCGAACGAGTGAAGTATTTTGTCAACACAAGAAGAAAAATTTTGCATTTCCAAGCGGCCATGTAATATTCTATTTATTATATAAACACCATTGAACTACCAAACCATTTCACTTTAATAGTTTTTTGGTGTGAAAGGCGCGCTTTATTATGTAGCCATACCAACGGTGATATTTTCACATGTGAAGATAACGTGTTATTTTCACATGTGAAGATACCAAGTTTTCGTGCCAAAGCTCATCTGGTATTTCATTGGTATTTTTATAAAAAATTGCAATATTCACATGGAGTGGATGTAGCAAATTATTCCAGCTCTTGTGATAAAAGGTCTGAGAAGTAGTTTCAGGATTCTAATATTTAGGAGAGATTTCAGTCACTCCCAAAATTGTCAGAACTGAAAAACAGTTTGCAAGATGTGCCTTGATGTCAGTGTCAATTATCATTTTTATTATTTTATCCAGTGTTTTCCAGTTTAACATTCATTGAATTTGCCTTTCTAACAGGATTCTTTTTGTCATATTATTGTTGTCCTTTGCAGGGTTCCTGGGGAACTAATTCCTGATTTATCAAGCATTGTGTTTGGAGAAAAGCAAGTATCTCTGTCCATAAAATTGTCCTTATTATTGTTTGTGTTTTGTTGTTTTTCAGTAACAATCAAGACAGTGAAGACATAAGACTGTTTATTTTATTCATTCAATTTTTTAAAGTGCTCAACTTTTTTTTGGAGCGGTCTTTGAGGGATGGTAAATTAACATTTAAATAAAAAACTGAGAGCATAAAGGTTTCTTTGACTGGGTAACAGTGTTACCCGGGCTTGGATGAGGATGCATGGCCCTTTCAGTTGAAACAAAAAATGACTCGAGAGTTTAAAATAATTATGATATGTTTAAATGTAATGGGGCAATTTTCGTGGGCATTTTTTTTCTGGGGTTATAACAGCATTGCAAAATGGTTGCCGGCAAAAGAGAGCTTGTTCTGAAGGGAGTTGTGGTGGTGTTCATTGTCATCCTTTGCCTCTACAGAAGATCAGCATTTGATGCTGCTGCTGTCAAAAATAGAAACCATCTTCCAAGCTTAGATTCACTCAGGTGGAGAGTTGATGTGGCTATATCCACTAGGTGAGCATACATTTGTGTCCACTTAGCCTATTAATATTATACTTCACATTGCTTATCAACCAATTTAAATAATGATAAACTTTTCCAGGCCTAATAAACCTAACCAGTTCTTTTAAAAAATATATATCCTTACTTTAATATTGTAACTCCCCTTTGGGCTTTTCAGTCGCTATTTTACATGAACAACTAAAAATTAAATATAATGCATATCACACTAAAATTATTATTGAGAAAGAAAATTGTCCTTCATTAAGTTTTTGAAAGCTCTGACTGAGGATTAGGCTTTCAATTTAATTGTCATCTAAGTTGTTCCAGATGTTACCAGCTCAAAAAATAAATGTTTGCTGACCAGTAGCTGTTTTAAACTTCAGTTTTAGTTTGAGGATATCTTGCTTACCAAGCTATGGTTGTTTAAAAACTTTTCTGCCATAACTCGTCTCTCAGATATAAAAGCTGTTTGACAGGGAGCCAGTTGAACTCACACAAAAGTGGAGCACTTGACATGATCATATTTCCTGGAATTCGTAACCATTTTTCTTAGGTAATAGTAACTTTGTGGGCGAGGTCATTTGCCCTGATCTTCTGCTCCACTTGCAGACGTCATAATATATATAGACCTTATTATTTGGGTCATAAGCAATGCATTATATAAAGGAAAGAATAACCTCAGGCTTTGCTTGCTAGACATCATGACTAAGGGTGTTACTTGTATTATTTTTTTGTTTTTTAGTTCCCTCAGTAGAGTACTTGAACCTTCGGTTTTAATGGAAATGAAACTGAGTGATGGAAAAATCCACGCATTTGAGGTAAGGCATTGACTTGGTGAGATTAACATGTCATTTGGAGGAAAAGCCTTGGTGAACTCAAGCTGCGGCTTTTCTTATAATCTTCAATATTCCAGCAAATTCAAAAACTACCAGTCTTACAACCAGGATTTAAGTTGACACTGTACTTGAGTGCTTATTATTCTCTGGGGACCAATGCAAAGTGAAGAGATGAGTGAAAAAAAAGGGGTTTTAGCCTCCCTAGCCATGTCACTATACCGGCAGAGTAGACTGTCTGACCTTTTCTTCTGGGTTGCCACCGTTCAGGCATCTGGGACAAACTAACTGCCAAGGGAAAATTCAAGCGTTTTTCGTGGATGTAGAAAAATGAAAAGCTAAGCAGGCTTATTTAAAGTGTATTGGTCAAGCAGCCTGGCTTTTTTCTTGACTGTGCCTTTGAAATTGCTCCGCCTTGTTGTTTTCCACATGGTTCGTACAATCTTGAAAAGGTCTTGAATTTTACTAGTGATCTTGAAAAGTCCTTGAATTCGGTTTAGGTCCTTGAAAAGTACTTAATTTCTTTATTAGGTCTTGAAAAGTCCTTGAAATTCACTTGTCTACACTACACAACTTTTTTCTGCAAAATCAGATTATTTTGCCAAGGAAAGTTTGGCTCATCTGTAGTATAAGAACCTGTAAGACTCATGGATAGAGTAACTTAGATATTTTTGTGCGTAAACAATATTGTATTTCTGTTTCTTTCTTTCAAATGCTATCTCTGTGCCTCAGATGCAAAATTATTGCAAGTCATACCCAGTCATTTTAGAAAGTCTTGTGCGGAAAGTAGTATAAAATAACGTGATCAACGAAGGCTGAAGAAGTAAAAATCGTAAATTACTCCATGACTTATTTTAGCCAGTAATAATGGTGATCAAAGGGGGTTAAAAAATGCTGATGTTCCAGACTAATTTCAGCTTGTGGTGAGTTCTCTTTCAGCCAGTGAAATTCACTAGCAGCCACCCCTTAGCTACAGTTCTGAGTATTATTGTCATACTGTACCACCTAGTCAAAATAAATCTTTTAATTACAGGTGTACTGATCCTTGTTTTTATAGGTGCCATTATCCAAATTTCATGAGCTAAGATACAACGTGGCCTATGTGTTAAAGGAGATGGAAGAAGTTGAAAAGAAAAACATACTGAAGATTCAGGACTAACAGTAGGGCTGGATAGAACCCACGTATTTAGACTAGGCAGGTACTATTAGTATTGCAAGTGATTTAACCTTTAATACTTGAATTGGCTCCTAGCTTCAACCAAATGCTACATCTTCATCATCATCATCATCATATTGCCCTCTTCCCTTAAAATCTAATTAAAGAAATAAGAAACTTTTCTCATAACTGCCCCACCTGCTCCCTCACCCAAAAGTACAGCTGTAACTTGGTCCTTCTGACAACAGTGCTGAAGAATAGTGTTACACTGAGAAACTGAACTTAGAATTTAGCAATACTTGTTTTAATGGAACTTGGTGGTGAGTTGGTTTGTTGAGAATGAATGATAAATCTGTACCATTCACAAAAAGTTTTTTTGCATCTCCTAGGAGATATGTACACTCCACTGTTGTTAGTATTTTAATGTTAGAGTTTGTGTTCAAGTAAAATAAGAACGGAATGAGTTAATGAAGCAGAAATTTGAATAATTATATTCATGCCCAGGTCTGGTGCTGATATTTTGAGCATAAAATTTATTTTATGGGTTTTGAGGCCACATCTTAAGATGTTTTGTGTTAATTAGGATCTTACCTGCTCTTGGAACATTTACTGGAATTCTGGACACTTCTATTAAAAAAAGAGAGTTGAAGTGCAGGGTGTACTGTATTGTCTATAGTACAAGTTGTTAAATGAAAAGCTATTTCTGAAAATGATGAAGATAATGTAAGGCTGCTTGGTGCGAAACTGAAACATTTGAAACACTTTTGGTATAAATTGTATTAATTTCAACTTTTCACTTTAAAAAAAGATTGCATGCGGCCACAATGTGTGATTTCTTTGGCAAGTTAATTATAACATGAGAGACAATTGTCAAACACGACCATCATTGCATGTGCATAGTTACATCATTACACCTCATTGAGTCATACACTTACTCTTCTTACATCTATAATAATATACATGTTCATTCATATGGTTATATGTGTTGTATCATGGGGGACATTTTTATCATTTTGAAGAAAATACTGTCCAAAGAAAAAATGCATGGGGAAATTTTTACTACGTTTTAGAAATATCCAAAGGAAAAAAACGACATGTACCAAGATGGCTTAGTCTGAAAATAGTGATAGTAACGTTTGCAGTAGAAGGTAACCACCAATATTACAGTCAAGGCAGGTCAAGCGTACCCCCCAAGATTCTATTAATGAATTCATTATTTATAAAATGAACCCGTTAGTCATTCTGGTAATTAGTGTCAAATTCCAATTGGCATTCCTGCATGCGTAATGAGCAGTGAATATTTTACAAGAATGTCTCTGTATTTGGTCAGATTGAAAATCTTTGCTTGGATAAAATTGCTTCGAAGACATTGACATCAATTCTGGGAAACTGAGCTGGTAGAAATTTCATAACTGCCTCGCGTGTGAATTCACGGCTCATGACACATGCAAGAATGCAGAGATGAATCTGAAATCTACAACAGATTCAACTTTTGAATAACTTGGCATTTTGGAGGGTATGCTTGACCTGGCTTGACTGTAATCCTTCAAGCCCTTAGAGTGATCAGTATCAAATTTCTCTTTGTAATATCAAAGCTTTAGAGAACCGAGTGGTCGTGAGGATTAAGGACATGATCAAAGACAATGAATTTAATGAATTGCTACTTAAATGGTAACAAAGGAGAATTTAGAATTTTGTTTTTAAGGTTAACATGCATGTAGAAATTTTGGAGATAACTACTCATATTGTAGGCAGTAGATTAATAATGATCAAATGTGTTAATATTGATAATGTGGTTTGCATAACTGTTATAATACTTCAAACCAAGCATAAAACATTTTTGTACAAAAAATAGAATCTTATCTCAATGAGGGAAATAGGCATACATGTAAATAAGCTATGCTATATCTACATGTATTGAGTTAACAAAAATAACACTTTTTAGCACTTAACTCTCTTGTTAGTTGCTGAGTTTGGGAATTAAAAAATGAAAATCAGCATGTAGACAGGCGGGTGTTTCTTCATTATTTTTATTAAAAATCACATTACAATATTGTTGTTGTGTTGAGAAATTTTACATCGACACAGCACTAACCATTTAGATTACTGGCAGTGCTCAATTCTAACCTAATTTGTTAGTAATCGGCAGCTTATAGCTTAGCTTAAATATAATAAACCTGTTCTAATTGATTCAATGACTAACCAGGTGGTGTAGGATTCAACAAGTTTATGAATTCAGTTTGTCTAATTACAATAATACACCTCGACCCCCTTATGGGTCTTCCAGTATGCTTCAAAACTGGGTTGTAATAATATATTTAATCACATCGTGGCAAATTTGCCTATAGGCCTATAGCAATAAATCATAATCTACAAAAATAAGTTATCATACATATTTAGTAAAATTTGTATACTGTAAAAAGTTGTCTGCAGTGTTAATTTGTTTAGGAGACATGGCCAGTTGCACAAAACTTATTATTTGCCCTAAGTCAAACTCTTTTTTAATGTGGGTCGTCAGCCATTACACTGTACATCTGACAGTTGGTGTTATCTTACTGATTCCAGTCACAGTTCCAGAATTATCTTAACTTGTCTGCCTATAACCTTTAAGTGTATCTTTGGAATGAGGCAAACAGCTCTTGTAATTTCTCAAGACGGGTCTTCAGGCAAGCCATAGCAAGGAACTGTAATTGAACATGTTCTGGTAAAGGACATATGGACAAAAGCCACCATATCCACTGGGGCCCTTGTGGAAGATTTACAAGCTCGGTGTCACAGCTTGGCATTTCTGAAAACATGTTTGTTATTCGCCTCTGAAATTATCAACAGCAAAAAAATTCTGATCACACAATATGCCTTGCAAATGTTGAGGATTCTAAAAGCCGTTCACTCATGTAGGGACAAGTACATTTCCTGTTAGGCAAGTAACTATTCACTTAGGTCTTCACTCGCATACTTGCACTTGCTTCATAAACACATAACCCTCTAATTAAATAATAAACTTAGGTAGCAATGGCCCTAGGCAAGCAAAAATTGAGCAATGCAAATTCAAGTCAAGCCCATGTAATATCATGTTGAAATTTTATTCACCTCATTAAAAAAACAACACAAAATTTTATAAAAATAAATAAGATTATATATGTATTTTTTTTTACCTTTGCTCTTTTATTTTCATTTTTTTTTCTTTTTGTCATTTCGCTTTTTTTAGCCTAGAACTATGATTAGTACGACTATCTAAAAATTATATTTATTTTAAGATTTACTGTAGCTCTGCCATTGATTTTCCCATGTGTAATTATGATTCATAATATTTTGTTCTAATTATCTAACTGAGGGAGCCCATTCCTTATAAGCCCGGTGGCTTCTCTTGGGCTTCCTCGCCATGAGAATTTAAATAATTAGATTTTATTTGATTTGTACAGTTTATGGCAAACAAAACAATAAACAATAAACAATTATACATGGAACAGCAAGTACCATTGTGTGGTCTACATCTAGGTACAGTCTACAGGTAGATATAGGTAATTAAACCTTTGAAACTTAATGTTGGTATTAAAATAAGCCACGCAGTTGTGCAAACTTTAAACTCACCCTCGAAAGAAGTGGTAAATTTGCAAACCAGCTTTTTGCATCATTGTAAACTCTTTCATGAAGGGCCTTGATCTCATCTAAAAACAACAAAAAACAAACAAACCAACAAACAAAACATGCAACATTCAGTTTGTTTTAGTGTGAAATGATTATTTAAATCCACGCTGAAAAAATATTTTAACTAGTAAACAGGTTAAATTTTCAGCATTTCACCAAGTTAATGTTAATGTCATCGACAAAGAACCAGTGAGGAAAGTTACCGGCATAGGAAATGATTGTAAACTTTTGGTAAAACCACGTTAAGCCTACCCTCTTACAGCTGAAAGTCCAGTATTATAATAATAATTATTATTACTGTTGATAGTTGTGCCAATAAATATCTAGTTGTTGCCAATGAAACTGAAATCAATGAAAACAGCATATTACCCAGTTCTTCTGGTGGAATTGGTTCATCTTTGATCCATTCAACTTTAGCAGTGTGATAGCCATTCTGTATTCCTCTTTCAATGACCTGTAAGTAAATACATGTGATTCGTCAGTCAGGCAGTCAATAAAAACTGTTCCTGATAAGATCATTCACGTCAGACATTTCTGTTTTAGTAAGACAGTCAAAGCACTAGTACGAATAAAAAACAATTTGCTTTTTACTCAGAATATAGACACCTCTTTCTAAGATGAACGAGTATGTCCGTTTTACAGAGATGTCCGACTAAAACAAATAAAGAAAGGGAATCTCTACATGTAGGTGTCCATTTTGTAGAGATTCCATGAAAAGGAATAAAAAAAGACAGGGATTAACTTTAAGTGTCTGTTTTACTGAAGTGTGTGGGAGGCGTCTGTCTTAATACTGAGGGTCAACTAAAAGGAGTAAAGAAAGGCAGGAACCAACTCGAGGTGTCCATGTCAGTGAGATGCCTATCTTGCAAAGGTGTCTGTTAAGAGAGAGTTACCTGACTTGTCCATAACAGTTTGGCTCAAATCAGCTTATTGTTCCTTATAATCCACTATACACTTGGTGTTGACCAAATTTAATACTTTAATCACCTTAAAACGCCTTCCACCAACACAGTCAAGAAAAGATCTTCCATCTGGAAGGTACTGTAGGTCATTAATCTCTAACATGACGCCATAATCTACAAAACTGAAAGGCAACAAAAATTTAGTTTCAAAAGTAAATACAACAATAATTTAATATAGTTATACATTTTTCCCACTCTCTTACAATGAATTCTAAAAATCAGTGTGCTCGACTTATTTTTCACTTGTCTGTTAGCAGAAAATGTTTGCGAGAGTGACTTGTTTATTTCCCTTAAAACAGAGGATGCTAAGACAGGGTTATTAGGTTCAGTTTTTGTAACATCTGGAAAATTAATTATAATTTCAGCAGGACTTTCTTCATTATTTATGACTATCACTCAGCAAATATCACATAAAGTCCGGCTCATACTTTCAAATCAGTCTCAAACTACATTTACACACTTGGCTGATTCAAAATTTCTTGCATGATTACAAACTGAATAATATTCTACTCCACTCAGTCTTACATGTACAATTGTATATATGTATTACCATAAATGAACGACAGTTGAAGCTCTTGTAAGCGACCACCTCGGAAATCGAAAAAGTGGTTGTGGCTAAAGCTGGTCACATATGAGAATGAGGTCTTGAAAGGGAGCACGCGGTAAAACAATAGAGGGTAGTCACTTACAAGAGCTTCAGAAACTCACTAAGAATTCAGAAAGAAACAACAAAATAAATTTAATGTTTTATCTGATATAGCCACAGCTAAAATTTATGTCCAATTTCTTAGACCAAAATAACTAAGCATATAAATATCAGTGCAAGAATGAGTTGATCAAGGTCAGTTCCTGTTTTATCGGGTCTGAGTGGTCGCTTGTGAGAGCTTAAAACAGTTCAAACGGGGTTTCGTAAAGGTGGTGGTAACTAGAGCTGAAGGAGAGCTTTAACTGTATTTTGCCCTGCACAAGGGCGTGGTCTCACCCCTTATCCTCATCATGCACACACATTCCAAACTGCTTGGATCCGGACTCCATACACTGTCTGACCATAAGACGGTAACGAGGTTCAAAGATGTGCAGAGGACAGGGTTGTGACGGAAAGGCCAAAGTACAAACAAAGATGGGCACATCTTCTGTGGTGTCCCTTGCCACACTGAAAGTAACAGGACTCAAGAGTCAACATACAAAATCTTGAAGCATGAATTTTGTGTGCCCTTGACTACTTGTTAAATTAAACATTATTATCGCCAGACATGACCCAGCGAGAAAAGTTCTCTGAGCTTTTTTGTATTGGAATTTGGAGGAACAAGTAAATTTCTCTAACTAGACTCTCCAGTAAGGTGGATATATCTGTGGTACTAACAGATACATTCTAGAGCTGTTCCTTAGAAAGAATTGCATCTACCCTAGCTAATTGAAACTTTAAAATTTATTATAAATTGCCAGTTGTGATTTAAAAATGTTCAGTGAAATAGCATGACATTCACAAATTTTATATAAAATCATAGTCAAATGTGTTGATTTTCATTTATACCAGTATAAATGTTTATATGTAAGAATCTGTTCCTACAAACTCACTGAAGAAATAGTCAAATCATCACTTTTTTGTTTTTAAGTTCCATTTTGCTTTAATTTTCTTGGTACATTTTTTTTTTTGTATTTGTGACTTCTTCTTGACTTGAATTATTGACTTGACTTGACTTGACTGCTTTCTTAGCCACTAACAAAACTTAAAAACCTAGTCTGACTGGATATTAATAGTTCGATCCTGATCACCTTGCTAACTTTTCCATTTCTTCCTCATGTAGTTTTTTTCTTTCTTCATGTTCCTCAGGCAAGGCAGATTCAATGAGCCTGCTCACAGCTGCTGTGATGTTCTGAAGACAATTGAGCACTCACTTGTGTCATACTAATATTCTCCTTAGTAGGGAGCTTATAATAAGCAATGACGTTGGCAAAGTCAATGAAAAGGGCAAAAAAGCAATAGGTTTTGATTGGCAAAATGGTAACTCTGCACGTGTATCGTGCTTTTTTGTACTACTATGACGTGAAATACCTGTTGTTGAGGATGTGAACACAAACAAGATAATGACTTTCCTTTTCTTTTCCTGAACTTTGATACAGTCTTTTAGAATTCAACTCCAGCAGAAGATTGCCAATTAACATTTGAAGAATTCAGTGAGATGGAATAAGCATTATAAAGTTTGAAGCAGGGCTTATTCACTTTTTAAGTAACGTTTTAGTGGCCGTTGCTGTGGTTGTTGCTTAAGCTCCCTAGCTAATAAGCAATAATCATTAATTTTGATATTTTTTTTATAAAAAGAAAATAACAGTGAAAATAGTTACCTGGTTTCTTTCAGCAAGGAACTGAAATTAAGAAAGGGAGGAATTAACTATGGGAAAGAGAAAGATAATTGAAAGAAATATTTTGAGTGACAAGGTTGTACTTGGCATTTTAAAGATGTAACTTTACCTTGCTTAAAGAGTATCTGCAGATAGGGCATGTTGGTCTGTGATCAAGATTGCAGTTTAGGCAGCAACGACAAAAAACATGACCGCATGGTGTGGTGACTGGCTCATAAAATAACCTAAAGGAAAAAACATTTTTGTCATTTTTCTTTCATGTACACTGTAACTACACTTCTACAAACACTGTTTCTCATTGTTTCTTGTTGTAAGGGATGTCATTTCTCTCAAATGAATTAATAATGCAAGTGATTAATTGACTAATGGTGAAATAAATTTTCAATAAAATAGAAATTACCAGTAATTATTAATCTTTCTTGTAAAAATTTTTTCTTGCACACTCATTATTAGTATTATACATTGTACTATTATAAAATACTATCTGTCTTCTCATTGGCTGAGAGTCTACACTTAATTTTTGAAACTGCAGCCACATACATGTACAAATAAGTTTAGTCATCTGCTAGCAGTTTAGTGACTTATCTGTAGGTTGTGCGAGAACAATTTCAAACTCTGTTCCGTGCAATGGTGTGTTTGTTTTTTTTTTCTTCTGAACAGTGTATGATAAAACAATAATTTATTACTAGATTCGGGTTCTTGCGAGATAATGATCAGTCTCAGTTTCAAGTAATCAGCCTCAGGCAGCTTCTACTTGGCTGATAACACTTACCTTGACCTTGATTATTTCAGATATCACCAAAACCTTATCCAATCATTATTGCTTATTATTATGTTCACTTGTATCCTTACCTACAGCACAGTGTACATTCTAGATCCTCCACAGAACATTGCTTGCCAAGTCTTAATTTCTTGATGTCAGGTTCATCTTCACAGCTATCATTAGCTTCTGAAAGGTTATAATAGCCATAGGGGTTTTTAGTAACCGTATTCCCTCGAATGAGCAAAATTTCAGCGAAAAGGGGGGGCACTTATTGATAGGAGAGCATTTAATCAAGGGTTGCTTATTAAGTTTTTCTTTCAATGAACTGTAATTTTATTTTAGCAATTATTTTTTTAAAATAGAAAAACAAAAGACAACATTACCAACCTAAACGTAAAGTCAATATTCTGTGTTCATTTAAACAGTGACTGGTAATCAAGCGTACCTTAGTTCTTCTATACACGTTATCCACTAGTGTATCAGTATGAATGTTTGTAAAAAATCGTGATTTTCTCATCATCCTTGAGATCATCATCATCATCATCATCATCATCATCAACGACATGCATATCATTGCATTTGTCTTGTATCCATATTATTTCAAAAAAGTGACAAGGAGGGGATGGGGCGCATTTAAGAAGGGGGGCTGTTTGATTTATGGTGGTTGGGCGCTTATCTAAGCGTTGGTGTTTGCTTATTATTTTAACAAAATATTGTTGGGGTTCCCCTTAGAAATCATGAGACATTTGAAATGGGCTTGTATCCAGTTTGTTCCATTTTAATATTTAATTAGTTATTTATTATTATAATAATTCTCGTATCCACCAATGTAAGGTCTTACCTCCATGCATAGTAGGGCCCATTTTACTTTGCTCTACATGATTAACAAGACTTTTTAATCTGTGAAGAATTGGATCTGTCTCCTCACTTGCACAGTGGCCATGATGGTCCCCTTTTGAACTGGAACGGGGAATAGCTTCCACGATTAGCTCATGTATAAGCTACATAAGTAACAGAAAATATTCTATGGTAAGAACACTGAAAATGTTCTTAACTTATAGAGTTGGTACCATATTATTATAAATACACCACTGGATCTTCTTCAAGTGACCTGCCACCAGTAGTGCTAAAAATCTTACAAAAATGCTGCGATTTTGGGGTCTCTTTTATGAAGTGATCACTAATTATCAACACAGTGAGCCTCTCCAGAGAACACACCAAACACATAGGTGTTTGGAAGAGATCAGACTCAAGTGGGATTTCCAGCGGGGTAGAGAAAACTCTCAATGGTAGTGATTGTCAGGGGGTTTGGGAGGGGAACATGCATATCTTCTGGAAAAACACTTGACATTTACAGTATACTATAGATATTCAAGTTACAAAAATCTTCCTACCTTGGCCAGTGATTTTTCTACTCCTTTGTTGCCTGGATCTCTTGCAAGGCAGTGCAAAAATGCAACAGCTGCTTCTGTCTTTTTGTTAAGACCCACCAAAGCACAGCCTTTCCTGTAATATCCCTAGCCAACAAACAGGTCAAGGATCAAGGAGTCAATTATGATAACAGTGGAGCTCTTGCATGCTCAAAGCACCATAGGTAAGAAATTTGGTTATCTATGCATTCAAGAAATTTTGGTAGTCACATGACTGTACAATGTACAACACTGGAAATTATTTGCGTCATGGCATTAACATTACAGAGGCTGTCCCCAGCATTCTGGGGAAACGGGAACATGATTATCGTCGGCGATTCACAGACGTCTCCTCGCGCGACTTTTCCTGAGGGAGGGGGGACGTCTGTACACAGGCTACCGGGAAACCAGTGTGAAATGTCACATTTCCAGCTATTATGGGAGCCTGTAACTTGTGTGTAACTTGATAATAGACATTCATAGTTTGGTAAATTGACAGCTGTCAAAACAGGGTATCCACTGACCAGAATCACATGCCTGTATTGTCGGCTCAGGAGCCAATTCATCAAGTATTTTTTTGAGGTTTTCTGCTGACCAGATATTTGCTTTTAATTGATCGCCGGCTCAGCTTGTCCTCAAAAGTCATATGGTCCTCCCGGAAAGTCAAGTATACATTTGTGGATTTCTTTGCACTGGTTCTAACAATCATTGACCAACTTTATCGTCTGACGTAAATTCTTAATACGTCAATGGGTGCTTTGCTTTTAGCTCTGCCTAAATCTATATATTAACAACAACACTATCCAGTCTGATTGGCTATTGGCAACTGTGTCTGTACACCATTATCATGTCAAGAATAAGTTTAATACACACCTTTGGCCAAGCAGGTTGGAGTTCACAAGTCTTGCTGGCTCTAGCAAGGGCTTCTTCAAAATACCCCAAGGAGAGCAAAACACAGGCAAGGTTACTTTGAATAAGATGGTCTGATTTATCTGCGAGAAACAGCAAACTTTAGTTTCTTGGTCTCTGAGATACTTTCCTGCCCCAACCCCTATATGAGATTAACCCTTTAACTGGAACAAAACATTACTTTTTTGTGTTGGACTTCAATATTTTGATGTTTTTTTTCCTGACATTCTACAACCTTTTTATTACTAAAAGTCTCAGTGAAAGGCCCTTTGATATCCATGCTGACTAAGAATTTGTTGCCAAAATGGCTGCCACAGATCAGCACCTTAGATAAACAGCTCAAAATTCTCCTACAGTTCTTTACATCCCTTTCAAGAATATTTATAACCCTTTAAGCACTGATATTAACATGTATATTCTCCTCACTGCTCTCCATATGTTTCCTTAATGAACTGTTTTAGAGAATTAGTTCAATCATCAAGACATTTCATCAGTACTGATCATTCCACTCACTCTCTTTACCTGTATATTTGATCTGGCAGTGATATTGTTTGGAGAAATTTGATACCAGTCACTATTAAGGTTCAAAGAGATAACTGGTTTAGGATGGCCCTAAAAGTAAGACCTCTTTTAGCTAAATCAATTCATTTTGCCCTTTCAACAACAAATAGAACTCAAGCAAACCATTTAGCCATCACCTGGATCAGATTTTTACATTAAAATTTGAGCAGCAGTTTGGTTCACATCAGGGTTAACAATACATGTACATGCATGTATTTATAGCTGAAACTTTAGATGCCACAGTTTTGATCCCTCAGATGATAGCAAAATATTTTTGGCAGACGGAATTTACTGTACAGCTGGGTGTTTACTCTCTGAGAGACTTTAATATTGTGCCCCATTTTGTTTGTTCAATTCCTGTGACGAGCAAGAAGAAGTAAATGCATTTGTGGGTGAAATTTGAAAGGAACTATTCTCTAGAATAGCATCTGTGACCGCAGGAATAACAGTGTTATGCTAATACTGTTTTTTTTTTAAAACAGCTTTCCCCAAGGCACTGCAACTATTTCCGAGAAGCATATCTTCTTATTAATTAGGCTATACAAATTATTAGCAGCCCCAGGACATAATTAAGCTAGCTGTTCTATATTCCCATATTAATTTTATTCTACTCACGGTTGAGGAGTGAATGATTAATAATAATAAAAAAATAGGATGCCAGGGGGGAAAAAGCCAGCAGAACTATGACCCCTTAATTGCGGAAATAAATTTAAGGGTCGAAACATGATATGAACAACTTTGATATTACGTAACCTTCGGAGTCACACAAGAACATCACAGAATTTATCAGTCTTGAACTCAGAAAGCCAGGTTCACTTTTTATAACAATGAACCCCAACAACCTTCAAAAATTTAAAAAGCTCAAATGTTCAACAAAGGGCATCGCTGGAGATCACAGACTGGTGTAGCCGAAGAAATTTTAAAATATCGCGCGTAATAATTTTATTCGAAACTTGATCAGCCGGCTCTCGTTTTCAGCATCCTGGGTGAAAAAAACGAAAATTGTCTGTATTCCTCGTCTTCACCCATAGGAACGGTGGAACAGTACCTCTGTGTCTGCTGGAATACTACAATAGACTGCTAAAGTATTCTTAAAATGAGATCTGTGTACTCTTGTAGTTACGTAACTATGAACTCTGCTATCGACGGCAGCGAAAAACAACAGCATGAAATTCTGGGTTCATGCACTGGTATACATTGGCAGACATCAAAACTCGGAGATACTTACTCAATTTTTCTGCTTCTTTATATTTGTCGATCGCTTGCAGACTTTGTTTTCTTTTATGCAGTTGGTTTCCTTCGAACCTCAAGCGAGTGGCTTCCAATACTCCCTGGAACGACTTCTCGAGTATGTCTTGCAAGATAACATTTATCCTAAAAGCACCACTAGAGAATGGTTTGTCGCAGTGACTGCATTTTTTCGCTTCTTGCTTTTCTAAGCACAATTTACAGAATGAGTGACCGCACGAAACGGTGACGGGTTCGTAAAGAACTCCTGTACAAATGCCACATTGTAAAATGGTGGTGTCCTCGTTATCGAAAAAACTATTATTTTCTATCGTTATGACCTTAATGAGTCCTGTTATAAAGCGAAGCAACCGATCAGGTTGAATTGTCCCTCTTTTAAAAGCTTCGCAATAAACGGGTAAGGCATCAGATAATCGTCCTTCCAACGCCAAAGTATCCGCTTTCCCCAGCAGGTAAGATTTTTCCTTCGACTTGCAACTCCGTTTTCCAAGGAGGCTTTCAAACATTTCGCGGGCTTTGGGGAAGTTTCCTTTCTTCATTTCCGCTTCAGCTTCCCATTCCATAATTTTTGGCTGGGAAGGATCATCGAACAGCTGTACTGTGCACCTTCCCAGACGCAGGATGAAATCGCAAAATACTTTGAGGAGAAATTTCAATCAAATGTGATTGCTATGACGTAACTTCGGTCAGCAGTGTCTCGGAGCCGCAGAGGTAAACATCGATTGTGATTGGTCAGTTTCTACCCCCGCCTTGTTATGCAATTTTCATTCCCGGTACAAATGAATGCCGAGATCCACCAGCAAAAGAAAGAAACACTTGAAATTCACTTTGAGATACTAGTACATTGGCGAATTCTGAAAATGTAACTTACTTTCGCTCGAGAGACAGACGCCATTTTGTTTTCAGTGATGGGGTGTAAATGGGGGCGGGGTTGGGGGTAAGCAGGGGTCAGGGTTTGAAAACATGTCTTGTGATTCGAACGTCATCTAATTTTTTCATGTCACGAACGCGTTTTAGCTAGTGTTTCCCCAAAGAAGTGGCTAATTTTTGTTGGAAAAAGCAAAGCAAAAACTTTTTTTATACGATGTAGCCATTCAGCTATCTTTTCTTCGGTTTTATGAGTTCTTGGGACAAAAGTCCCCCGGAGTTACAGACTTCTAAATCTAGCAACAGTTACTGTTTTGTTTGTTCAAGGACCAGGCAAACCGTACCAGGCTATAAAAGCATGATACAGCGTAATTTAAGCCCCGGTCAAAAAGACACAAGAGCCTCGACACAACAGCTTCTCAACTCCTTCTGAAATCATTCCAGGAGACAAACAGGTCAGCAGGGCTGGGTGGGGGTAGCCGTTTACTCCAAGACCTCAGCTCTTAAACGAATATCTCGCTTTCTACCCGTTAATACTATGATTCTCTTACATCAAACGTTCACTGAACGTTCCTACTGAGTTTCATATTTAGAATATTGTAATACAGTTTTTGTGGGTCTAGGTAAGGTGCAGAGCGACAGACTCGAAGATGCCAACGAGGACTGAGAATGAAAGCTACGAAAGCTTACTGAATCTCGCGGGCGTGAATACTTAGAAACACCGTCGTTCTTACCAAGCTCTGATTCGCAAATGTCTTAACTCAAAAGGTCCAAAGTACATTGCCGATTTTCTAAATTTAAGGGATGTATGTTATAATCGAAAGGGGTAAGGGAAGTAACTTAGTACAGCCTCATTTTAACATTGAGTGGATGCATAAATCCTTTTCATTTATAGCTACAATAGCAAGCTGTGGAATAGGCTATCGTTATATATTAAAAACTCCGATAATTCTTAAGTGTTTTAAAAGGCTCTTCAAAAGTTCAATTTAGAATTTTTATACTAGTTTCTGTCTTGCATATGTTATTAGGTTATTCTATCAGCACTTTTTTCTATTGCTATCATAGTTTGTGACCTTTTTCTGACTGTTCATGTTCAATTTTAGCTCTTTTTAAATAGTTTTTTAAAATGATATATTCTTATGTAACAGACATTAGGTCTTACGGAGTTAAAGTTTTTACTTGGTTTTTACCATGTTTGTGCACGCTCGAACGAGTTTTTATTAACTCCTAGGTGTTACGTGTATAAATAAACTATTTACTTCTGTACTTTCTTGTCTACGGTTTTGCTTTATATCGTCCACATTTCCTGAGAGAATGCAGAAAGTTTTTCGTCTATTGCCGCCTTTCAAATGATAGAGTGGAAAAGAAAGTGAGTGTGCAATCGTTCTGTATTTTCTCCTATAGCCGGAGTTGGATTTAAAATCAGTATAAACGTATGATCATGTATCATTTTTTGTATACAAGGCAGGAGCCTATACAAGGCAGATAAAACATTTAGAACGTTTACAACATTTTAACAAAGATGTAATTACTACTCCAGTGCTATATGCAGTGCGGTGGCATTGGCCAGTAAGAATGGAACAAATGCAAATGCAACGCTCCTCGCGTGTGCTACCAAGAAATCCAGCCTAGGATTTTAACCCTTTGGAGACGGCTGGGTCGTTTTCGTTTATTGTCAATTACGCAGGCTTCTTTGAAGTCGTTGAAGTGTGATCCGGCACAACTTTAAAAACGAATTGGATTTACAAAATTTATTTCAGTTCTTTCATGCGTGCAAGTTTTACATTCTCGTACTTGGACCTTAAAAGGATATCAATTCTCAGTGCTATTCCTTTCAAACTGGGTCAAAAATTTTTATGTTTCTTTTTTACTTCACGTGACCCGAAACGCTTTATGAGGCCCAGGGACTAGGCAAGGTTTGAACCTTCGCGGCACAAATCAAATTCATCGTAAACTGGTGAGAATACCAAGATTCATGATAGGGCCATTGTGGCTCTTGAGAATACTCATCTCGGAGGTAAGACAAATAGATGGTTTAAACGACAGAACAAGCTTTAGAATCTTGTTTTCGGCTTGTAACGTTTGAAGCGTCATCATCAGGAATATTGCTTTCGCTTTTTAGAGCTTCATTCTCATCTTCAAAGTGAACATTCTTTTCCACTTTATTCGGTTCCTGACTTCCGTGAGCGTCTGCAGAATTAACTTTGGCACGGTCATCGTCCGTCTTCTCTTCAGCTATTTTCGCCGGCTTCAATTCGTCTTGCCCGCTCTTTATTTCAGTCCCAAAAGTTCTTTTGGCATGGTCATCATCCGTCTTCTCCTCAGCTTTTTTGGCCGGCTTCAACTCATCCTGCCCTCGTTTTATTTCAACTCTAAAAGTTCTTTTGAACGTTTCGAGTCCATCTTCCTCATAAAGCGCCTGCTGGACCTTTTTCCAGTCTTGCTCTGTTTCGTGAACGTTCAGCAAAACTCGATTGAAAGACTTCAAATCCTGTTTATTTTCTTCTGAAAGTCGCTCTGCAATCACATCGGCTGCAGCCTTGAGGCAAAACACTTCATCAACATCGACTCCCGTCATTTCTCCAATTTTTGAAACCTCATTGCTAGGATTTTCGCCGATGACCTTGCTCGCCCATTTGAAATCAGAACTTGAGAACTCGCACGGAATCAAGTGCACATAAGCTGGCTTGGGAGGTATAGCTGAAACCTGAATGGGATAGAGTATTCTTCGAGACGAGCTTCGATTCCTGAAAATCGCAATGTTTAATTCTTCCACCAGTTCATTTGATACCAAAAACGCCGGTGAAAGCAGGGGGACAATAACACGCGCCACATCTAACGACTGTACTCTTGAGAAATCCCCTGCAACCGGTTCATTTATCTTCAAGGAGGGTATGGTTTCAAGCAGCAACTGCTTTAAAACAACTGCACACTTCTTATCTGAGTCGGCAAAACTCAGGGCAATATCACAAGCGGTATTGCCCTGTGGCGTCACTTGTGATGGTGTGGAATCTGATGACGTCACCTCTGTTGACTCAGGGGATGCGACAGTCTGATGGGCATCAACGGACATCACATCACTAGCAGCATGGCTCATTCTAAGGGGTTCCTTGCTGCTTTCGCTGCTTAAATCTATGGGAGTTTTCAGAACACCTGAGCGGAACAAAAAGTTGGCTTTTCTGTAGTCATCCATGACTGCTTCAATCGTAACGTTGCTCTTCTTAAGGTGATTTAAACGCTGGGCGAGGATGTCATCTGCTGAGTGACTACTGGTGCCTAAATAGAAAGAAGACAAGACTGTAGTTATTCCCCCACTCTTATTTTATTTAAGACGGATACCCCTGAGACCGGCAATAAGTGTCCATGCGGAACGGGGGAACTTTTTGTTTGTCGGAAAATTAGAATCTAAACCCAAAGGAGACCAATCTGGACGTAACGCAGGTTTCATTTGACCCCTAAACGAGACTATATGACTGCATTTGTATAGGTATTTCTTAACGAACAACTCCCTCTTGATAACTTTATGGGAAAAATATTGGCTTTCCGTGGGGTGGATTTGCCGTTAAGCCTAATTTTTTACGTGCGTGTGAACGCAAATTTTACGTACGACTTTTACGTTTTCGCGCGACCTTCTACTTAACTTCCAAAGCTAATCTCCAAGGAGCCGCATTTTCAACAAATGGGTCATTCCTTACCTAGTCCCCAGGGCTTTTCCCTACAAAAAATGGGAGGGTTAGGGACGAGGTTGCTCATTATTGCGCCCGGCGTCTCGGTTACGTCACCGAAATGCGTTGACCGCGAAGCCCTGGGAAGACGCGGTACAGTGACTAAGCAAGGTCACTCCCTTGTGATTAAATGACATACTGTTGTAGATTCTCTGAGAATATATGTAAACCATTTCTTCAGAAAGGAGGGGTGGGGTCAGAGGCACCTATTTAATATTTTTAGCCTAAGGGGGAAGGGGCGCTAATTCGAAGGGGGCTTACACTTGGAGTTGGCATCTTACCCTTCAGTCTCTTAACCAAATCAGTACAGACTGTGGCTAACACCTGATCCATGTCCACTTGCGACGAAGCGCAGTCAACAGGAAGAGGCTCCGCACACCAGAGTGGGAGTTCATCTATAGGCTCCACCAATACACTCACAAGATCCATGGTTCTGTCTTTATCCACAAACAAGGCATGTGACAGGCTGAATTCTTCATAACATACTTTGGATTTGATGTAGTCCGGCGACAAAAGAGCGATTGTGCTTTTAGATCCATCTAAAAGTTTGAAAAGACATTTAGTAGAAATTAAACCAATGAGTCCGACGGGAAAATGCAGCCCACTGTACTAAAATAAAATAATAATTTACACTCCTTAACAGCTCAAAAACCCTTCACGGCTATGCATTTTTGTCGACCTTTGATCTTTATCAGCTTATTCGATTATATACTGCATGTAAGGAGGCTTTTATTCATTACGACCCTGGCAGTGGGGTGGGAGACGGGTAGCGGTGGGCAAAATCACGTAATATGTCTGCAAAATATTTCCACCTCCTTTCGCCCATCCCCACCCCCATCCGCAAAAAAATTCCCTTCACCCATAATTCATTAGACTGTTCACAGTCCTCTATTTTTCCGTAAGATCATCGAGATCGAGCGCTTTGCGTTACGGGCTGCCATCTTGTATGAGTGTCAAAACTACTTAGGGGGCGGGGGCGGTTATAATCCCCGACGCCCGCACCCTCGGTACATTTGAAAATCAAGATAGCCGTGACGGTAAGAACGATCTCACGAAAAAATAGGGGAGTGTGAACAGTCTAAGACTTCATTAAACCCTACAGGGCTACAAAAAAATGACCATCCTTCTCACAGAGCTTCCCAAAATAACCTATTTCCTCCACAATTTTTGCTAACTCCAACTCAAAACTTTCCTTGTTTTAGGGTACTTTTGACCTAACTCAGTTCAACAGACACAAAACCTGGTGTTCACCAAAATGCGTGCCGTTCGCGCTGTTTAATTCCTCTTCTCTATCTTACCCTGTCCTTTACTTGACATCTGCAGTAACTAATCTAAACTTTAATTTTCCTTGACTTTCCAGCCAAGGACCAACAATTGAATTCCTTGACTTTCCAGACCTGGAAAAAAAATTCTTAAATTTCATGACTTTCCAGGTTTCCCATAACTCGCACGAACCCTGTAATACCCCGAGCCACTGCAAAGTACAGTTTCAAACACAAAAGTTTTAACGGAATAGTGTTTCTCTGCCGCAAGCAAAGATTGCTAACCTAATGCATTGTATAGCATCTGCTGCCAAGACGTTCCTGTGTTCAGACCAGATGTGTCAATGAAGATCTTCAGATCTGGATCAATAGAACTCAGAGTAGCCAACAGCTTTTCAGCGTGATTCTTGTTCTGATGACAGTATGAAATGAATACATCGTAGCTTAACGTTGAATGACCTCCTGTAATCGCACTAGGGGAAACAGCATTCTGCGCTGTCTTCAATGATTCTGCAACATTGTGACTGGCTGTTCTGAATTTTTGTTCATCCCTTGGCCTGTAGGCGATCAGTTTAATGAGTTAGCCAACCTGCGTGGCAAGGCGTTCGGAAGGGAAGGGGAAGGGAATTTGGATAAGTAAGCCTAATAAATACCTCTTTCTAGCCGGGTTTGAGGTTTCTTTACTGACTTTTCTCTTTCTTAACGAAGGTGTGGTCTTCAAAAATTCAACTTCAGAAAGATTTACCTAAATTTTTGGTAACTCTACATTTGGTGGGATACTCGCAACGAAGACTAAAAAAAACGCAAGCGGTTCACTGCTCTCGCATCGACGTTGCTACTTAAGTAAAAATCCTAACTTTGGAGGCAAATATCTCCATTGAGCGGCCACCCTCGGGGTCGGTACCGGCAAGTGGCCGCTTAATGAAGGGTGGCCAATAATAGAGGTTTATCATGAATAAAAATAACCTTGAGGAGAAACAACACTTTATTTTGAAAAAATAAAAAAGAACACGCGACGGGAGCAGCATTACGGTCCACGAACGGTCATCACCTTTCATCTCGGACTGTATTTTCCTTGATCATATTCTTGAAGTAAAGCCAAAGTAAGTGTATCAAGCGCTTGATGACCGCTTAACCCTTTAAGCCCCGGTATCCACATAGAAATTCTCCAAACTTATCCCCATACATTTCCTTAAAGAATTAGTTGTGAGAATTTGATAATAGATCAAGGCATTTTCTCTTGGATGATCATTTTATTAATTCTCATAACTTATCTCTTGGCAGTGTATGGATATTGTTAGGAGAAAATTGATCTTTGTCACTACTGGGACTTAAAGGGTTAATAGAGGTGACAGCAAAGGGAGAACTCTTGCTGGGAATGCCAAAAGATGGCCGCAGCCGCCTAATAGAGGTTTAAGTTCCCATTCTTTTTTTTCTACAGTTATTTCAGGACTTTGATTACTGGTTTAACTGTAGAGTCAATAAAGAGGGTTAACCCTTTAAACCCTAAGATCAAAATTTGAATTCTCATTTGTTGCCCCTATTCATTTCATACAGAAGTAGTGGGGAGAAGTTGAAAAAATATCAAGCAAATTCATCTTATGTGATCATGTCCGTAATTCTCATGACCAGTCTGTTTAACAAAGATTGATATTGTAAGGAGAAATTTGATGCTGATCACTCTTTTGGCTTAAAGGGTTAATTAAGCATACCTACAGTCTTCGTACTGAATAAGGCTCATGTATGTGGGCATGTAATCCATTGTGGTGATGTAAAATGGTGCCAGCACTGTTCCTTTTGAGCGTCTGTTAATGCAAAGGGCCATGTTGTACTGTTCGATACAGCTCTCCTTCTCTAAATATTCCGGACTTAACAAGGCGATAACACGCGCACACTTTCCCATGATGTTAAATATCTCTTCTTGCCACGATTCATCATCATTAAGCTCCTGAATGTCGTAGAACACGTTGAGGTTACTCTCAGTCTGCAAGAACTTTACAATTTTCAAGGCTGAGTCATGGTCTTTGGGGCTGTGTGACATGTAAACATCATATAAGACTTCTGTTTCCTGTGGAAAGTATTATAATTATAGTCTTTTTTTAGTAACAGGGCACAACAGGGAATTGACACCAGCTCTCACAGTCGTCAATTTAATGAGAAAAAAAATTTTGCATGTAAAGCCTCCTTGCCTTTGTTAGTTTAAAACAGCTGATAGATGACTGAGAATAAAAGTATCTACAAATGGAATGTATTTTTCAATTGGTTTATTTCGAGATATATGCTGGATATTTTTGCCACTAATAGAACGTTAAATTTTACAACTTCCATTCCCTCACTAGTATGCTTGGGCATCCTGTGCTTCAAAACAGATTAAAACAACCCATCAGAGTCCTCAGAGGAGGGTGTGGCATCCTAAAGTACGTAACCACAGAGTAGGAAAGGTCTCAGGGAAGTCATACCTTTGTAGCTGAGCTTTTTAATACACAGCATAAATGTGAAACTTTGTTTACATTTTTTGCCTCGCTTTCATTAGCAACAAAAACAACAACTACAACAATAAAACAGACCATTTCCGAGATGCCCTAAACTTCTGTTTCAAATCAGGGCTAAGTGCAAAGCTATAATAATAAGAATGTTTTTATTCTCATGCAAATAAAACCTTTAGCAACAAAAACAACAACTACAACAATAAAACAGACCATTTCCGAGATGCCCTAAACTTCTGTTTCAAATCAGGGCTAAGTGCAAAGCTATAATAATAAGAATGTTTTTATTCTCATGCAAATAAAACCCTTTTTCGCAAGAAAGGTTTTGCAGGTGCACTTAACCTTGTTTGAAAGGAAGAGTTTTTGGAACTTGGGAAATGGCCTATAGGCTATTAATATGAAAAAAAGAAAATATTAAGTTCAACTCACATAAACCAAATCTTTCTCATCATATTTGTCCTTCATCTTTTGAAAACAATCAAATAGTGGCTCATTTGTTTTGCTGTGTTTTTCAGGATTGCGAGAAAACAAGACAATCTTGAGCGTCTTCAATGAAAGGCCAGCCTTGATCCAGTGTATTGCAGAGTTCATTATCAGTCGCAGCATGAGAGTCTTTGAGTAACCCTGAGTTTTGAATAAAAATTGGAATTTCAACTAGATAATACTAATTCTGCTTTACAAGTAGAATGCAGCATTACCACTTTCAAAATTACATAGAAATAGAAGTTGAACCACAAGATGGTGATTGAAGGAAAGAGCTAGAGCAGTGAAATGTTCTCTAGTGACCAGTATATCTTGCTTATCTGAACACTAGACTAGAAATGTGACCTATGCTTATGCTAGATGAACATTACTTGATATCATCTAATTAAAATGAACATGTTGCCTGGAGACCTCTGCCAGTTCATTAGAAGATGGGACCTGTAGAATACCAGCACCAGTATACTCTGAGAATAGTTCCCGCCTTCAAGCAAAATGGAAAAGCTTACTCTCACACCAACTTATTAATTTCAAGCTTCCATTGCCTACTCAAACTTGGGAACCCTTGATCTGCTTCAAAAATAGCAAAAACCCTTCTCACATCTCATCTCGGCAACACAGTCAAACCCCATTAATATAGACACTAAGGGGGCCATAAAAAGTGTTGAGAGGGTTGAATTACCTTATTATAGGAAATTAACAATGCATGTTGACAACGCAAAGAAAATTTACCTCACTCAAAATAAACGTGAATTTTCCAAAAGTTAGGTTTACATACATCAAATTAACGCGAAATTTTCAAAAACAATGTGCGCCTAACTTTATATTTACGTGAACTTGCTGCAATACAAGCTTCTCAACATATATATCTAAAAGAAAAAACAGCAGCATTTCCATGAAGAAGAAAGACTGAAAATCCCCTCAGGGAAATGGATCAATACGAAGACCAGCCAAAAGACATTTTGAACTCAATTCTTAAAGAAGAACTGTCAGATAATGACTCTGGCGCGTTGATAGAGGAACTACAGCTGTATGAGCAGACGAGGTTTTGTTATTGAAATAAAGGTGCTGTAAAACAACAATGATGTAAAATGGTGTGATTCAAATTAACATCCTTGACAAAAATTAAGATGCGTTAAATTCACGCGATTTTTTTAAAATCGTGTTAACGAAGTGCATCGTTAATTTCCTATAATCAGGTAAGAGAAAACATATGAGCTTTCTTTCTAAAGGGAAAAAGACAGCTGTCTGTATTATTAAAGCAGGTGTCTGTAAAGCGGGGTTTTACTGTACCTGATCTCCTGAAGCTAGAAGAGGCATAATAACTGATCCATCTGTGGTATCTTTGCCACTAAGAATCGGTACAAGACATCGAAACACAGCTCCAACAACTTTGGGTGGCTGGCTTCCTCGACTACCAAATCCTCCCTCAAAACACAGAATTCTTTTAAAGCTATACTGTTCAGGAAGTGGCTTGGACCACCAACAGAAGTACTGTCTGCGTAAGTCTTCCTCTTTGTCTTGAGAAAGATTTCGGACACTGATACCAAGGTTGATAGCCAGTGCTCCAATCAGTGAAGACGGAGTTGGTGAATAATCACCTTAAAAAATCATGGAAATATAGTTCACATGATTAACTTGCCATTAGTATGAAATACTCAAACAAAAGCATTGCCCCTCCCCCTTAAACCACTCCTTTACACTTACACTTGTCAGGACCTGTCACCATTGCATGGCCCCATGTAAGGTAAAGGTAAGGGCACGCTTTCCATTTGTTAGAACAGACCGGCCAAACCATTCCTGTCGTAATGAAGATTTCACTTTCAATCAAAACTGACCAGCCAGATCAGTCAAATCCTAAATAGTATACACAAAGGAGATGGTTTTTCAGCAAAAACCTTTTGGAAAAATTCGATTTCATTTGGTAACTGACTAGCCCGGCAATGGTCTGGCTGGCCTGAGTTCTGACAAATGGAGAGCACCCTAAGACAGTCTTGGACACTGTAGATTCTGGATTCCAGGGAGTAGATTCCAGATCCCAATTGTTATCAGGAGTCCGGATTCCAACAGGAGTCCAAATTTCACAAGCAACAAGCAAAAATTTCACGGGACTCAGGAATAATCTGAATTACATTGCAAAAAAGAATAGAAAAAATTGAATATGGTACAGAAACATTCTTATAGTTCTTTTCTTGTAAAAACCTGCAGTTCTTACAGAGGAAAATAAATAAATAACCAACTTACTAACTGACGTGAATAAATAAATACAGTTTTCAAACCAACAGTAATAACTAAGCCCCGGCCGGCCCTGATTTCCTTTCAAATTTATCTTTATGAAAGCAGTTTGTTGGATTACTTAAGGGGAAAATAGGAAGCCTCAGTGATCAGGGAGATATCCATTTTCCATGTGACAGCAAATCTAGATCGTAATTTTAAAATTAAGCTCAATCAATAGTTGAGAGTTTTGTCAAATAGTTTCTCATCAAAAGAGCGGCATGCACATGGTCCAATATTATATACGGAAAATCAAGCATTAAATCAAATTACATATGATATCTTAAACAAAGCGTAATCCTAGAAATCTCAAGGGTTTAATTCTAAACTGGATGATTTAAGTTCAAGAGTTCAAGAATTATTATTGATTATTTCACATGTCAACCGTTTAGTAAACTGTTAATTCGAGTTGTGCATGTTTATCAGTGTTTGTGACGAGCTTACCGGGAAACGCGGAAACAACCAAAACATCGACTTTTTCTTCTCTGGGAAGCTTAGTGATGTCGCCGATGCACAACTGAATCTTACTGACTCCAGTTTCTGTTGTCAATGATAACGTATCGTGGACGATAAGCGACATTTGGTTTTAGTTGAAGGCTCGTTCGTTCCGCAAATATTCGACCACTGTTCTTTGGTTAGAGGGCTGTCACGTGGTATGTTTATGGGTTTTGTCTGTGTTTAAAACCACAGGTAGCCCAATCTCCAAGGAGTCTATATTAATCTGTTTGACCCGCAAGATTTCTCTGGGGACGACTGTAGAATGGGCTCATGTCAACAGCAACATTGAAAAGGATTTGTATGATAGCCATCGTCGTCTTCGTTGCTTATTTCGAAGAGAAAAGGGCAGGAAAAAGAGGGAGGGAAGTCTGTTTTCCCCATACCTCAACAGTGACGAATTCCCAACCCCCAGCCGGCCAGGTGAACCACATACCACTTGACACATGCCCGGAGGTAGGGGAATTCTTGAAATTGACTGAGCTATATAAGGTGATTCCTCCACCACTTACCCTCCCACGTCTATCCTATAAAATCCTACAATTCCGGAGTTTAAGGGCGTAGGTAGAACTGAAAAAAAAAACAAAAACAAAAACAAAAAAAATAATTGGCATGAATTCCAGGGAGAACTACGATCGCTGTTGACGCAAAACAAACCGCAGGGAATCAAGATAGAAGAGAGCATAATTGCTGTTTTTGTCAAAACGTCTAAACGTCGCTTTTGTAGGATTTTTTCGGAGACTAACTTCCCAACGTGGCGATAGCCTGTTCCAGGCTCTCAGATAGTGAGAGTAGGGAAGACGCGAAAGTGAAAGGCACGCAAAAAGTTGGCGGGGCGGGAAAAGGTGTCCTCCCGTTTTTTTGTTTGTTTGTTTGTTTTTTTTCACGTTCGCGCTTTCTCAAATTCATCGAACCCGACTATCTCGGAACCTAGAACAGGCTAACGAGGCGATGGCCGTTTGTTGCTAAAATTAGAGCCAATTCGTACCAGTTTTCAGACTTTAAGGATCTTTTGAGCACGTGATTAAAAGATTCCTCCTTTCGATGTTCAATCAATAAATCCGTTTTACAAGATGATTTAGCAACAAAAACAACAACTACAACAATAAAACAGACCATTTCCGAGATGCCCTAAACTTCTGTTTCAAATCAGGGCTAAGTGCAAAGCTATAATAATAAGAATGTTTTTATTCTCATGCAAATAAAACCATTTTTCGCAAGAAAGGTTTTGCAGGTGCACTTAACCTTGGTTTTAAAGTAAGAGTTTTTGGAACTTGGAAATGGCCTACTAAAATGAAAAAAAGGAAATACTAAGTCCAACTTACATAAACCAAATCTTTCTCATCATATTTGTCCTTCATCTTTTGAAAACAATCGAAGAGTGGCTCATTTGTTTTGCTGTGTTTTTCAGGATTGCGAGAAAACAAGACAATCTTGAGCGTCTTCAATGAAAGACCAGCTTTGATCCAGTGTATTGCAGAGTTCATTATCAGTCTCAGCATGAGAGTCTTTGAGTAACCCTGAGTTTTGAATAAAAATTGGAATTTCAACTAGATAATACTTTCTGCTTTACAAGTAGAATACAGCATTTTAACCATCTTTAAAATTACACAAAAATAGAAGTTAAACCTTAAGACTAGAGCAGTGAAATGTTCCCTAGTGACCATGCGGTATATCTTGCTTAATATCTGAAGAATAGAAATGTGGTATGCTTATGCTAGATGAACATTACTTATTATCTAATTTAATTGACCATGTTGCCTGGAGATCTCTGCCACTTCATTAGAAGATGGGACCTGCAGGGTACTGGCACCAATATATTCTGAGAATAGTTGTTCCCGCCTTCAAGCAAAATGGAAAAGCTGACTCTCACACCAACTTATTAATAATTATTAATAAGTTGGTGTGGGAGTCAGCTTTTCCATTTTGCTTGAAGGCGGGAACTATTAGTCGAAGCTTTCATTGCCTACTCAAATTTGGACACCCTTTGATCTACTTAAAAAAAAGTAAAAACCCTTCTCACATCTCATCTCGGGAACACAGTCAAATCCCATTAATATAGACACTAAGGGGGCCATAAAAAGTGTCAGTATTAAGAGAGTCGAATTACCTTATTATAGGAAATTAATGATGCCGCAAAGAAAATTTACCTCACACAAAATAAACGCAAATTTTCCAAAAGTTAGGTTTTCATACATCAATTAAATGCAAAATTTTCAAAAACAATGTGCGCCTAATGCACCTATCAATGTAAAGCCGGCGGGGGGGGGGGGGGGGGGGG